TTTTTTTTTTAAAGTCAGTATTATATATATTTATATATATTATATATATATTTATATATACACACACCCACTGAGTTCTGCATATCCCACCAGGAAGGAAAATAGCTCTCCCTTTTGTGTTTTTTTTTTTTTTGTTTTGTATTTTCTTTTTCTTTTTTTTGTCAGTGTAAACTGTACATCCCAGATGAAGAGAAGACGGCTGCAGCAGGGGCAAGTGGAGGAGAGGAAGGTTCACATCCAGAAAAAACCAAACAAACAAAAAAAAAACAAAACCAAAACAAACCAAAAAAAAAACAAACAAAAAACAACCAACCAATAAAATAAAATAAAAAAAGATAATGTGTGAAATGATCCTTGACCCACAAATTTCAGCAGAAGTCCCCAGGTCCTGCGTTTAGTCCACGGCGCGTGTTAATGTGTGTCAAGACATCCAGAACGTCACAGCGTGTCTCCAACTGTGCAAAGGTCCGAGTCACTAATTTAGTGCAAAGGCAGTTCAGGTTCTTTTTTATTTTTTTCCTTTTTTTTTTGTTAAAAAAAATAAGCCATCCTTTATCTTTTCCCCAAAAGGAGGCACAGAAACCCAATACCAGTCCGCCTGCTGAGTGCATCAGTTGTCCGTAAGCTAAAGCAATATGTAAACATACAAGGTAGCGGAACCGCTACCCAGCAACAGTTTGATCGAGGCCGGTTAGGGCAGGAGGCTGGTAGTCTGGCAGCATTTTCTTGTTTCATTACTTTCTCTCTCTCTTTTTAGTTATTTTTATTTTAAATTTTTTTTTTTTTGGTGGTTTTTTGGGGTTTTTTTTTTTTTTAAAGTTTTTTTTTTTTGGTGGGTTTTTTTGGGTTTTTTTTTTTTTTGGTGGGTTTTTTTGGGTTTTTTTTTTTTTTAAAGTTTTTTTTTTTTGGTGTTTTTCTTGGGGTTTTTTTTTTTTTTAAAGTTTTTTTTTTTTGGTGGTTTTTTTGGGCTTTTTTTTTTTTTTTTGGTGGTTTTTGTGGGCTTTTTTTTTTTTTTTGGTGGTTTTTTGGGGTTTTTTTTTTTTTTAAAGTTTTTTTTTTTTGGTGGTTTTTTGGGGTTTTTTTTTTTTTTAAAGTTTTTTTTTTTTGGTGTTTTTCTTGGGGTTTTTTTTTTTTTTAATTTTTTTTTTTTTGGTGGGTTTTTTTGGGTTTTTTTTTTTTTTAAAGTTTTTTTTTTTTGGTGGGTTTTTTTGGGTTTTTTTTTTTTTTAATTTTTTTTTTTTTGGTGGGTTTTTTTGGGTTTTTTTTTTTTTTAATTTTTTTTTTTTTGGGGTTTTTTTTTTTTTTAATTTTTTTTTTTTTGGTGGTTTTTTGGGGTTTTTTTTTTTTTTAAAGTTTTTTTTTTTTGGTGTTTTTCTTGGGGTTTTTTTTTTTTTTGGGGTTTTTTTTTTTTTTAAAGTTTTTTTTTTTTGGTGGTTTTTTGGGGTTTTTTTTTTTTTTAAAGTTTTTTTTTTTTGGTGTTTTTCTTGGGGTTTTTTTTTTTTTTTGGGGTTTTTTTGGGGTTTTTTTGGGGTTTTTTTTTTTTTTAATTTTTTTTTTTTTGGTGGTTTTTGTGGGCTTTTTTTTTTTTTTTTTTTTTGCTGCAGGGCCTTGGAAAAAAAAAATAATAATAATAAAAGTCAGTAACCGGTAAACAGCTCATACCGACGCGATGACAATCATCAGGTGAGGAGAGATGTTGGAGATGCTGGCGAGGAGGTCCGGGGCTAGGCGGGACAGGTGGCTTTCCGAAAATTCGCAGGGTGGGAAGATCTGCAGAACGTAGGCAGGCTGCGAGGGGGAAAAGAAACACGGATGAGAGACAAACCGGAGCGAGGGCTGGCCTAAAATGTTTTAAAATGGGACATTCGGATGATTTTTTATAGGCTCGTAAACTGGCGCGCTTGTATAAAAAAGGAGAGACTGTTCAGCAGCCGCAGGAGCGGTTCCCAAGGTGGGGAGTTTTTCCACACCGGGGATGTAAGAGCTGGCTGGTTTTATTGCAAAAGACAAACAAAATTCCCATTAATTATCGTTTCAGCGGTTGCTCCGAGTGCCGACCGCTCATTCTGGGCTGTTTACACCCAGGGAACGGATTAGATTTGATTCGATGCAGCAACGCATCTGGAATAAATGCTCCACGTCGTCAAACCCAAACGGCGAAGAGCAAGAAAACTCCAGGTGTCCCGGAAAAACCAGGGTACGATACGTGGAAGAAACGAGGGCTCTACTTCCAACGCAGAGGAAGAGCTGGAAAATGGGTTTGGTTTGTTTTCAGCCAAAGATGTAGGGCTGTGAACGTACGTTTGGGGTTTTTTTTTCCGGCTTTGCAGTTCATCTTCAGTAATTACATCAATTGTATCGGTGACGTAACGAGCCAGCACGGTAAACAGGGGGCGTGTGTTTATGTCAACAATAAAAACAGGCACCTCAACTGCAATCCTAAGGGAAGAGCCGGGGTGGAAGGCCGTAGGCCCCATTACCTATCGGTTTAGTTTATCTACGGGCGTTTCAGGGCTTTTTCCCTGCCAATACCTGATTAGAGCCGGGGTTGGGAACGTTGATGATTCCTGCAGCTTGCTTAGCCTGCAGGTAGCTGATGAACGCAGCCTTAAGCGACTCAGTCTGATTCACTACGTCTTCCTGGTCTCGGCCACAAGGCAAGGCCAGTAACAGGCAGTAATCGCTCTCCACCTGGAAAGAAAATACAGTAATTCAGTCAAATGTTTGCTGGGAACAGGCCCGTTCTTGACATACATTCATCATCTGCAGTGGAAAATCCTCTCTTTGAACTCCTTCGAAGTTACAAAAGACGTGCTGAAAGCTCGGCCGGCCTAGGAGACGGTGAAAAGGACTGAAAACTACCGATTTCCACGGCTGCCTGAATTCCACCTTACTCAGACGTGTCAGAGCCAGCAGGAATTTGTCCCAGGGCTGAGGGACGGGTGACTTCAAAGGTTTCCCAACTCCACCATTCCCTTTTCTATGAATGCAGAGTAATACCTACTGCTCGTGACTTGCAATCCGTATTACGGGCTCTCCGAGACGAAGGAATCGCACAGCTATTACCAGAATCCCAAAATAACGTGACACAAGCAACGAGAGCTGAGGCTTCCGCAAGAATCGGTGGGTTTTTTTGCAAGAACAGCCCAGCTTTCAGCACATGGACATTAGCTCTTCCCAAACACGCATCCTCGCCCCGTCCCGACCCCTCACCATCATTCTGCGTGCGACGCCCTCCAGCTGCGAAGCCTCCAGTCGCATGCGCTGAGCGATTCTCAGCGGCGGTCCTCCCTCCGGCGCCGGCAGGGACCGGTGCGCCAAGACGTTATTACCGGAGACGAAGTGGAGCTGAACAGCGGCCGTGTCGTTTTTTAGAGCCAAAAGGCCCTGCCAGACAATCGGGTATTTCTGGAAAGAGAGGGAGAAGTAGTATTAAACACAAATGAAGGACAGAGGGATCTTAAATCCCGTCTGAGCTTCTCATTTGCCTCCGATACTTTCACGGGCAATTAAGACACCACCGCTTTGCTTTAAGGACTCGGTACAGATGTAACATCACCCCTCGTACGTGCCGGTCCGGGCTTGGGTTAGGTCCTGCTAAATCAGTAATTCAGTCCTTTTCCTTCCAGCTGGCTAAGATGCCTGGGTGGCTGCCTTCATCGTAACATCAGAGCACTTCCCAAGCTTCCAGCCTCCCACACAGCGCGAGGCAGAGCGGGGCTGTTACCAAACGCTATTTTCTCTTTTACAAATGGGAGAATTGAGAAACAGCAGCAGCAGGAGAGTTGCTCAAGGTTATACGGGAAATACTTGGCGCTGAACGCAGCTCTCGGTTCCTCGTCAACGCCTGTTCCTCACTATCTCCCTCCTCTTCCTCAGTCTCTAGGCTTTGGGAGAGTGGTTTTTTTCTTTAAATTAAATACACCATCACTCTTTCCTGCCCGTGAAGAAAACCTTCCCAAGAAATAGCTGACTGTAAAAATGATGCAGCGCTGCCTGCCCTGAGCCTGCAGGCTGTTTGAAACACTCATGATAGAAACAGGGGCTGCTCTGCATTAACAGCACCTTATCTCGAGACCCTAGGAAATGCCATGTAAACGTGAACACGGCTAAAATTCACCGGGGACAGAAAGAGCCCAGCAAGCAGACAGACGATCGATCGCCGCCTTCGCATCTGAAGCGTTTGATGCAAGAGAGGTCAGATTTTGGTGCTACAGGTGAGACAAGCTATACAGAACCTGATTATTTCTCCCCGGATGAGGAGCACGAGGCTGCTCGGCCAGGAGGAGACGACGGAGCGGTACTTACCGTCAGAAGCTGAACCATATCCACAGGTCTCTGCGAGACGGGGTGAGGAGACGGCTCTTGTTTGAGAGCGGACTGGGGCTCAGGGCGATTGAGGGGCAGCCCCGGCGGAGCCCCAGGACCCGACGTCGTCGGGATGAACATGGATTGCTTGGGAACCGCCTGAGGTTGGTGTGGTGACGGAAGCTCCTGTTTCATCGAAATGGCAACAGGCGAAGGGTAGGAAGTCTGGCCCGTGTCCGCTTGTGCCCTCTGAAGGTGGACGTGAGGGTCTATCGGTGCCGCATGCCTATTTACAGTGGGGTGGTGACTCTGTTCGGGCCCAGCTGCCGGCGGGCCCTTGGGATCCTGGGGGATCTGAGGAGTCTTGCTGCGTACTGGCTGGCTGGGGTGCGAGTGTTCGCCCTCCGGTAGACCCTGGGAAGCAGGCAGCAGGGGGAAAAGGAAAGATTTTAGGCCATGGGCGTATCAGAACTCGTTCATTCAACCATAAGGCTGCTAGGACACCATCAGATTGCTGGTGGGGAAATCCGTGTCTCCATGCCACAGCATCAGCTGTGCCTAGACCAGCCTCCCCTTCCAAAGCCACTCCACCAGCCTCTCACACCCGAGAGCTGAAACCGCATCCCCTGAATCCTGCCCCAAGCCCATCTTTAGCCACACCATCCGTCCGAGGATGTCTGACCCGCGCGCCACCTCCATGCTGACAATTCTCCCCCCGACACCTCTACGTCTAGAAACCTGTAGGTAGGTTTGAGTTGTAGAGTAGTTAATAAAACGGGGTTTTTTAGCTTCCTCTAATGCCAAGCAGCGTTCAAGCCCCGTTTCCCAAACAAAACTGGCTCCTCTTGTGCTATGAACTTAAGTAGGGCTTGGAGACTAACCACAGAGAGATAAACTCAGCTCCTGTGGCCACGCAGAGCCGCACCGGGGCTGTAATTAGCTCAAAGCGTTCCAGATGTCAGGTAGGACAAGAAAGGGTTTTATTTCTCACCTGAGATGGGGTCATGCTCCGGGAAGGCAACCCGATCGGCGAGGCACCCGGGAACTGAGGATGCCCGAGCTGTGCCGCCGTATGGTAATTCCTCATGTCGCCATACACAGACCGATAATCGTGAAAGGAGCTCCCCGCGGGGTGCATGATCTGTACCCCGTGCGGTACCACCACCGGCTGCGTCAAAGGCAGTCCAGGCAGCTGGCTGCTGGAGGGGACGCTGAGGAGCCGGGGTTCGCTGTGAGGAGAGTGTGCCATCTTGCCTTCAGAGGATTTTGGCGTCTCTTTTCCGGGCTGCGGGGTCTTACTGACGGGGGGAGTTTTCACAGCCCCTTCAGGCGTTCGGGATTGTCTCGTTTCCGAGTGGTGTTCGCCCACGGCGGCCATGTGCGGGTGCATGATCATCCTCACGTCCCGGGGGACGTTGTACTGGTCGAGCCTGATGCTCGTGGGGTGCATGCGGTAATCCGGCTGCATCACCAGCACGTCGGACTGAACGGGGGCTGGTCCCCTGCACACCGTGGTGTGGTGGTAGTGCATCTCCTCCTCGGGGGCATGCTGAGAAGACAGAGGAGGCATGACTATGTCTCGTATTGGGGCTGGCTGGGGCGTGCTGGATCGCTGAGGTTTGATCTCTATCTGGGGCTGCAGAGCAGCTCTGGGGGAGTGGAGCGCTTCTGGGCGGATGCCGTAAGGGATGCCGGAGAGAGGAGGGGTGTTCATCCTCACCTCGCCTTGGGACAGATGGCCCAGGGACACAGTCTGTGTTACGCTGTGAGGGGGCATGATAACAGATTGCTCGGGATGCATGCTGGATATGTACTGAGGAACGGGAATTCCCGGCGCCAGCATGACTGGGGTACTGCTCGATAAAGCCGGAGACGAGGTACTGCCAGGATGACAAGCCCGGGGGAACGGCGATGGCGAGTGCCCGCTAGTACGCGGTGAGTGTGGCTCCTGTTTGGTGACCCCCAAGTGGGAAATAGCCCGGTCGGTTGGGGTGCTGGGTCCCGAGCTGACGTGGTTTGCTTCCGAATGCATT